GTTTTAAAATGCCGGCTTTCTGGGCCATCCTGCCAGGGCAAACTCTGACTGTTTGAGGCAGGAGGGCCGACTACAGAGAGAGGACTTGAGTGTTGTCTGTGGACATAATGCTGCAGCTTACTTGCTGGCAGGGACTTTGAAATGCCACAGAGTTGTGGCAATAAAAATGGTTCCAGCGGTACCTCAGCCATGAGGCTGGAAAGCTAAGGAATGGGCTGGATCTAGCCGGCAAAGCCACGGCTTTAATCCTACCCATATTACTCAGTAATTTAAAGGCTCATGTGGTCAGAAAAAGAGAGAGATACAGTAAAGAGAGATTAAAAAACAAAACAAAAAAAAAACCTTTAAATGATTTACAATGTGTTAAAAATATATGCAGACTAAAAGTTAAAGTTCTTAAAGTAAAAAAAAGGAAGAAAGAGAGTAGTTGGGTGTGGTAGGACACACCTTTAATCCCAACACTTGGGAGGCAGAGGGAGATTGACCTCTGTGACTTTAAGGTGTGGTAGCACATGCCTTTAATCTCAATGCCTGGGAGGCAGAGACAGGCTGATCTCTGAGAGTTCAAGGACAGCCTGGTCAACAGAGTTATTCCAGGACAAAGATATACAGAGAATATAAAGTAAAAACAAACAAAATAGTGGTTAAAATAAAGCACACAAAGATGGAAGATAAACAGAGAATTTTGATACTGTATGCTATTATGCTCTCTTTGAATTGTTTGAATGCTGAGGAAGGAGCAACAGCTACTAAAAGATATTTGCTTATAAATGCTGCTGAACTAATCCAAGATAGATATTTTGAAAATACCTTGACTTTAAAATTTGAATCTAAGGACATGATGCTTTGGAAAGGAGTTTCTTATTTTGTTTTCACAGAGGGTGAGAGTCTGTGGATTGCTTCTATCCCAATATGGTATGATGGACTACATCCTCCTGTAGGGTTGCTGTGAACACCTTGTATAGTTCGCTTAAAAATGTAATGTATATAGGTTGTTAATGGATAATCAATAATAGTCAAGCTTGTAGTCATGTTAGTTAAGATTTTCTAGATGTACATAGATATATTTTACATAGGCATTCTTCATATTTTTCAAAGATTATAGAATATGGCATTTTAAATGTTTTAATAACTTAGGGCTTTTCATGACAATGAGACATGTCTGTTCCTGGCAGCACCAATCTACTTCAAGAAGAAGATGGGCATCGAAGAGACACCTTATAAAGTTTGATAGCCATTTGGGCAAGAAACTGCTCTTTCCTGGACTGTTGCATAAACTGGACACAGAGAACCCGCAGAGAGAGGACTACTGAACTTGCCTAAAGGTGAGATGGTCTTTCGGGGTTCCTGACTCATGAAAGAGTCTGTGAGACATTCTGCAGGACACAGCAGATACTGACTGAACTGTCTTTGAAATTTCCTGCTTCATGGAAAAAGTCTGCTGTGGGCCGAAGATGGATGCCCCGATGGTACAGAGGAACTTTGGGTGACTGTCCAGGCAGCAAGATGTCTCTGTGATTTCTAGAGTTTTAAAAAGGGGAAATGATGGAGGAAGGTCATTGACTAATAAGGAAACTGCCTCTGCCCATTTGATAAGCCAGCCTTTAGGTGGGTGGAGTAAACAGAACAGAATTCTGGGAGGAAGAGGAAGTGAGCTCAGAGGCCATGCTCCCCTCTCCCGGGCAGACAAGATGAAACAAGCAGCTAGGTCAGACATGCTGAATCTTTCCCAGTAAGACTGGTGCTACACAGATTACTAAAAATGGGTTAGGCAAAATATGAGAATTAGCCTGTAAGAGGCTAGAGCTAGTGGGCCAAGCAGTGTTTAAATGAATACAGTTTGTGTGTTGTTATTTCAGGGCATTAGTTAGCTGGCGGCCAGGAGCCAGGCTGTGGGAAGAGGCCCACAGCTCCTTCAACACACCACCACACCCCAATAGATTATGAATCTGAATGTCTTGTATCCTACAGTCTCTGTCAGTTTATCCTGGGGTAATTCCAGTATTTGGGAAGATGAAGTAGGAGGCTCAATCACAAGTTCAGGGTCAGCCTGGGTGAGCTCCTGTCTCAAAACCAAACATAACAGAAAGCAAACAAAGGAATCAGCCACAGCAGCAAAACAAATAGCCACAGGACAATCAAGTCCAGTGAAACCCTGATTTGAAAAGCTGATTTTTAAACTCTCTATACAGGAACAGCCCTTGAAAATTGTAATCCAGCAGTCAAGACTTTTCCTCTAGGAAAAATCAAGCCTGGCAATGTGTTAGGAATAATCTTTTTATTTTCTTTTTAAGGCATTTGAAGTCAGTGCCCCATAGCCAGCTATAGCTACCACCACTTCCCTGTCTCTAGGAAGCCCTCGAAAGAATTGCTCCCTGTGACATAACACGCACACACACACACACACACACACACACACACACACACACACTGTATTGGTATCTACCTAGTTTCCTGGCACACAGCTCCTACAATGCTAGGAATCCCCATTGTGTGCACGTCCTTTCATATGCTATTGAGGTGATGGGTACAGCTCCTGGGTAGCCTCAGTGTGACGGGCAGGTTACCAGGGAACCAGTCCTATGGTTAGAGTCTTGGAAATTTCAACTCTGTTCCCTGCCCAACTTGGAGAACAGAGAAGAGTTGGAGGTTCAGTGAATAAGTTTATCCTGCCTGGCCGGGAGGTGGTGGCACACCCCTTTTGCCCTAGCACTCAGGAGGCAGAGGCAGGAAGATCTCTGTGTTCAAGGACAATGTGGTGCACATAGTGAGTTCCAGGACAACCAGGGCTACACAGAGAAACCCTCTCTCAAACAAACAAACAAAGAAAAATAGTCAATCATGTATATATGATGAAGCTTCCATGTACATTTCAAAGCTGGGAAGTCCTGAGTGCTTCCAGATTGGTGTCCATGTGGAGGTAGAGGGAGTTTGACTTGCCCATTGAAACAAGCCAATTTTTCTTTATCTTTTTTATTTATTATTATTATTATCATTATTATGGGTTTTTTTGGTTTTGGTTTTTTGAGACAGGGTTTCTCTGTGTAGCCTTGGCTATCCTGGAACTAGCTCTGTAGACCAGGCTGGCCTCAAACTCACAGAGATCCTTTTGACTATGTCTTCTGGGTGCTGGGATTAAAGGCGTGAGCCACAACTGCCCAGCTAAACAAGCCCATTTTCCACATGCTTTTTGCTATGTATGCCTTCCATCTGGCTGGTCTGTAGCCTTTCTTAAAAAAACAGTAATCCAGAAGGCTGGGCTCAACCTCATGGTAATCCTCTATCAGTCTTGGACTTCCCAGACCCCAGACAGTAAGCCAAATAGATATCTCTTTGTTACAAAACTACCCAGCCTGAAGTATTCTGACATACCAGCGATGTGGGATGTCCTACTGTATGTGTGTTGCTTTTATTGGTTGATGAATAAAGATGTTTTAGCCAGTGACTTAGCAGAGTAAAGCCAGGCGGGAAATCTAAACAGAGATATAGAGAGAGTAGGTGGAGTCTGGGAGATGCCATGTAGCTGCCCAAGGAGACAGACACAGGCACCTTACCAGGAGGCCACAGCCCTGTGATACACAGATTAATAGAAATGGGTTAATTTAAGATGTAAGAGTTAGTTAATAAGAAGCCTGAGCTAATAGGCCAAACCGTGTTGTAATTAATATAGCTTCTGTGTGATTATTCAGGTCAGGGTGGCCAGGAAACAAATGAATAGTCTCCACTTACACACCAGCAAAGGGGACTGAGGCAGGATCTTTAATGAGACAGGAGATGTTGGTTTTCTCCTTCTACCATGTGAGTTCCAGGGACCAGTTCAGATTGTCGAGCTTAGCAGCAAGCACCTTTACCCTCTGAGTCATCTCCAGACAGGATTTCTCTGTGTATCCCTAGCTGTCCTGGAACTCGCTGTGTAGACCACACCGTCCTCGAACTCACAGGCTCTGCCTGCCTTTGCTTCCCAAATGCTGGGATTAAGGGCGTGTGCCACCACCGTCTGACATGGCCCCCTTTTATATTCTTTTCTAATCTTGGTTTTTGAATCAAAGATCTAGCTTCCTGGAGGAATTCCAAACTGATCCAAGTATCCTAGCCCCCGTGGAGCATGCCTGAACCTGGCTCTGTGACCCATTGTTTCTTGTGACTTGGGGTCTGTGTCCCTTCCTCCTTGAGTCCTTGGGGAATCCAGGTACACTCCTCTCACAGAGCCACGTGGGGTCCAGGTAGCCCAGTGACCATATTTGACTGAATCACAGGCCGTGGCAATCACTCTGTAGATTCAGCCTGGATGTCATCCTTCCTTCCCTTCCTTCTGTGCCAGCCCTGCCAGCTCCCGGCAAGAAATTTGCATCATGGGACAGCAGGAGGTTTTTAGGGACAACTCCTTCAAGCCATGGCCTCTCGAGCTCTCTCCCAGCTGCTCCTGGCCATGACTCTTCCCCTGCTGGAGCTGGAGTCAGTATCTGTCCCCACAGCCCAGTCAGTAAGTAGTGGGGTAAGGACCCTGGGGAGATCTGCAGAGACCACAACTGAAGCCTCCGACTGTGAGGGACCACAGGGTGTGGGATGAGAGGACAGGAGGGTGAAGGGAAGGAACGAGCTTGCAAGACCCCCAAGAAGCCAGTCTTCCTGTCCAGGGTGAGGGGACAGTGCCATGTCTTTATCTGAGTCCCTGCGAAGTCCTGTGGCTCCTGCTGCACTTTGGATAAAGGCTCTCTGGCCGTGCCGGCAATTTAAAGTGGAAGGAGAGGAAGATCTTTGCAGGTCGCAGGTCGGAAGCATATTGGCATAGAGGACGGGAGAAAGTCTGGGAGGAAGTGGTAGAGCCTCACTTTTGCCGTGTAATCTGTTTTCTCAAAGGAAGGTAGCAATATCACGATCTTACTTATCTACATTCCTATCTCCAAATCTATTGCAACCCCCAGATCTTAATTCCATCTGTAGCTTTCTCTGAGTTTTATCTATACCCTGTCCTTATCTACATCTGTTTATTTTATAGCCATATCTATGGATCCACCAAGTTTTATTTGTTTTTATTTTATGTGTAGATCTGCTTTGCTGCCCAGGCTAGTCTTGAACTAGGAGCTTAAGGGATGCTCCTGCCTCGTTATCTTAAGTGCTGGGTTTGCAGGCTTGAGCCACCACACCTAGTTTCCTTCTGGTTTTATTATTTTTATTTTGGGGGTACTGTTTTTTTTTTTTTTTTTTTTAGCCCAGGCTGGCCTGGAACACACTACATAGCCTGGGCTGACCTTGAAGTTGCTGCAAGTCTTCCTGCTTTAGCTTCTAGGTGCTAGGATTGCACGCCTGTGTTGCCATCTAGTTTTAGACATGCAGGCACATGAGATTTTGAGAGGAAAGAGTGGGTTAAATTGCAGGCCCCTTGCCTCCCTGTCGGAGCTCTGGACCAAACCACTTCATTAGCCTAGAGGCCCAGGGAGAGGTAGATTCAGGAAGGAGCCAAGCAAATCATGTTGACTCCCAGGGTGTGCCTGGTTCCTAGTTTCAGATGGGGCTGCTGGCCCTGTGAGTGTCTTTGTCCTCCCTCTTCTGAGTGGCTTTTCTCCATTCAGATATTTACATTTGTCTTCAACCCAAAAAAGATCTTCTAAGAGGACCAAGTCACACCAGAGAAGCCTGGCTGTCCCTGACGCTCCCTGGGAGGAACTTGGGAGCAGCCTCTCCTCAGATCTCTTTCCTCTTGTCTCTTTCCAGGAACTCAGACCATCTGGAGAGAAGTCTGGGCAGCAACTGGACCAAAACAATGGAGTAGGGGGTGAGTGGGGAGGAGGGGCTGGTGGAGATGGGCAAGGATGAGGAAAGGAAGGAACAGGAGGGGGGTGCAACAAGGTGGGCATAAAGAGGACAGGCTCTGGGAGGGCCAGATAGTCCTACATCAGCTCCTAAGGAGGGAGGCCTGGGGAGGCATGTGCCCCTTTGCAACGATGGCATGGAGCCGTGGACCAGAATGCGTCTCTGCTAGGGCAGGGGCTGGAGTTGACCAGCATCCTGTGTGTGCCTAGGCTGGCTCTGAGAGATGACATCTGCTTGTGTCCCCAGAAATGGCCAGCTGAGTTTGCAAAGGCAAAGGGGCCTCACCTGGGGCCTCACTGCCTCTTCTCCGCTGTGCCCTTTGCTTCTATAGAATCCGTACTGCTCTCCAGTTATGTGCAGCTGGAATTTTCAAACAGACCTTGGCCACAGGAACTCCCTGAGAACCTGTCTCTTCTTACTGCTTCAACATCCCTTCCCCCAAGAACGCTTACTGCCCTCAGCCTAACAACAGGTAGCAGTTGCATGGCACAGGGGCTTCCAACTCTCTAGCTAGCCAGCTTGCCCAAGGCGCAGGGAGCTCTCCCTAGCTCCCTCTCCCTGAGGGCTACAGCAGGATCCATTCTCCCTGGCCCAGCCCCTTCCTTATCTCCCTCCCTTCCTGTTCCACGCCTCAGTGTTCTAACTTGAGCAGGGGGTACAAGAGGCGGACAGAGCATGGGGAACTTTGCCCAGTGTCCCCGTCCAGTGTGTTCTGCTGCTCTGAGTCCTGGGTGCAAAGGAAGTCCTCTTGGGTGGCTGGGTGGGTGGAACTGACCTCCTGGGACCTCAAGATTAGTGTCAGCCACCCTCAGACCTCTCAGGAATCAATTGCTGGTCCCACAGCCTCACTTTCTCAGCCTACTTGCGTCTCTCTGTCACAGAATGTTATGTCAAACACAACAGGACAAAGTTCTGCACTTGCCGCTCTGGCTACCGGTGGAACGCTATGCTCTGCTCCCTCTATCCTACCTGCCTTGGCCACAGACCGGAAATCAGTTCCTGTATGTGTCTCAGCTTCCGCGGTGCTGCCCTTGGCTACTGCCAGTTGCTGCCACCTGGTAAGGAGGGTGGGAACTTGGAGACTAGTATCCATCCCCAAGTGAAAAGAAACACTTCCTGGGTTGTTGGGGTTGTTTGTTTTCGCTTTTTCTGGCAGCTGGTCCAAGCCCAGTTTCTCCTCTGGCTGGTAAAAGAAAGAAAGAAAGGGAAGGAGGGAGGGAGGGAGGAAGGGAGGGAGGGAGGGAGGGAGGGAGGGAGGGAGGAAGGAAGGAAGGAAGGAAGGAAGGAAGGAAGGAAGGAAGGAAGGAAGGAAGGAAGGAAGGAAAAGAAAGGCCAGCTGTCACAGAAAGACACTAAACCTGAGCTTGGCACTTGAAAAACTGAGACTAAAGGAGGTGGTTCTGAAGGCCCATGGGCAAAGGTGGGGGGCTGAGGGAAACCTTGCCTGAAGGAGCTTCAGCAGCCCCAAGTCCCTGGAAAATGGAAATTCTGGGCTGCTTTAGCTCTCGGGGCGGCAGGGCGGGGGGTGTCTACAAGGCTGAGGTGTTAGCAGGCATCTTCAGACACTCTTGCAAGGCAAAGGATGAAGTTCTGCAAAGTTATGCAGGGAATGGTGTGGAGAGGCGTGCTTCAGGAGGAGAGGAAGAGGAATTGCTAGCTGAGGCCCTTTCTCAAGCCCCCATCTCTTACTTTCTTGCAGTTCCTGCAACCCTGACCCTGGACTCTCAGCTGCAAATGCCGGGGAACACCCTGAACCTCACTCTCCTCAAGACAGAGGAGGCTACCAACCTGAGATGGTACTTGCGGAACCCAGAGGACCCCAAACTCATCTTCCTACGGCCAGGGGCAAAAGTGACCCAGATGTCCAGTCAGGGCCAGGCGGGCCTCAGCGTCAGCCACTTATCCCGTCCCTGGACAGGTAGCCTTCAACTATCTTTCTCTTCTCTCTCCTTTTCTCCCACAGGTTTTTGAGATAGAGTCTCACTCTGTAGCCCAGGCTGGCCTCAAACTCACAGCAATCCTCTTGCCTCAGCCTCCTGAGCACTGAGGGTACAGGCATGCACCACCCACTTCTTTTTCTGCTTCTCTTGGCCTTTCCCTCTCATGCCTCCTTCCCCTTTTTCCTCTTCTCCCCACTCACCTCTTCTGAACCATTCCCATTTGTTGGGGAAGCAAATGCAGAGACTCATCATAGTGTGGAAAATTCCATACGACAGCCAGCTGTTTGCACTGTAGTCTGGGGTCCCTAAGACCCTTTCTTAGCGTCACAAAAACCCAATGTTGTCTTGATGCCCGAAGATGTAAAAACACAAACAAAAGGGGGGAATGTGTGTGAGTTCAAGGTCAGGCTGGTTTACAAGAGCTAGTTCCTGGACAGGCTCCAAAGCTATAGAGAAACCCTGCCTCAAAAACAAAACAAAAGAACTTATGTTATTAAACATCTGTAGATCTCTGAAGTGTTTGAAGATGATCTATCTAAACTGTACCTCTTTTGACCTTGAAAACATACCTAATATGACTATAAGTTTAATTGTAATAGGTGACTAATTTGCATTTTCTTATTATCCTAAATTGTTGGTAATAACTCTAAAGCACTAGAAATTGCATTACCTTGTTAAATAAGCTGTACAGGTACAACACCTTGAACAAGATTAGAAATATATGTTCAGTATGTTTTAACAAAATTAATCTCAAATTTATATCAATATATAAAAGTCCAATCCAATGTAAAATATTTAAAGCTAGTAGTAGATTCAATAATCTACCTTTTTATCTTATCATATCTATATCCTCCCTTTCTTCAGACTAGATTCAATAATCTCCCTTTTATCCTATCATATCTATATCCTCCTATTTATTCTCTCTGCCGGCAAGCTCCACCTATTTCTCTCTCCTGCCTAGCTGTTTATTAGAGCAATCAGGTGTTTTATTTAGACAGGCAAAGTAACACAGCTTCGTAGAGAAAAAAAAAAACAGCATAAAAGAATGCAACACATCTTTCATCATTAAACAGATGTTCCACAGCGTAAACAAATGTAACACATCCCAAACTAATATTGCACAACAGGAGCAAATGTGGAGCAGCGGGCTTTCTTCTCTAAATTAAAAGGACTATGTGTAGGCTACAGATGTAGCTCTGGTTGGTAAAGTACTTGCCCAGCAGGCCTGAGGCCATGGGTTCAATTCCCAACACCTCATAAGCAGGCATGGTGGTGCACACCTATAATCTCAGTGCCCAGGAGGTAGAGGCAGGAAGAGAAGATGTTCAAGATTATCCTTTAATACATGGTGGCTTTGAGGCTGTGTGAAACCTCATATCAACCAAAAGAGGAAAGGGGGAAAAAAGAACCCAGAAAACATAACATCAAACAACAAAGAGACCCAGCCTCAAAACAGTTGGAAGATGGGGGTTGGAGAGATGGCTCAGAGGTTAAGAGCATTGCCTGCTCTTCCAAAGGTCCTGAGTTCAATTCCCAGCAACCACATGGTGGCTCACAACCATCTGTAATGGGGTCTGGTGCCCTCTTCTGGCCTGCAGGCATACACACAAACAGAATATTGTATACATAATAAATAAATAAATAAATATTTAAAAAAAAAAACAGTTGGTAGATAAGTGCCCACACCTGAGATTGTCCTCTGACATGCCCACCCACACTGTAAACATGCTTGTGCATGTTTGTGCATGCACACAAACACACATGCAAACACAAGTGCAAAAACATTAATCTTAGAGTTACTACTTTTCAGAAAACAAATATTCCTGCTAAAAATTCATAGTATGGGGGCATGTTAAAAACCAAGCCCTCACGGGCTGGAGAGATGGCTCAGAGGTTAAGAGCACTGACTGCTCTTCCAGAGGTCCTGAGTTCAATTCCCAGCAACCACATGGTGGCTCACAACCATCTGTAATGGGGTCTGGCGCCCCCTTCTGGCTTGCAGGCACACGTGGAAGGAATGCTATACACATAATATAATAAATAAATAAATAAGTAAATAAATAAATAAATAAATAAATATTTAAAAAAAAAAAAAAAACGAGCCCTCAGCTAGGCAGTGGTGGTTTTAATCCCAGCACTCAGGAGACAGCGGCAGGTGGGTCTCTGTGAGTTCAAGACCAGCCTGGTCTACAAGACAGGTTCCAGGACAGGTTCCAAAACCACAGAGAAACCCTGTCTCGAAAAATCAAAAACCTGAGACCTATCGGTTCCAGCTGAGAAAAGGCTGGCGCACAGTTCCTCATGTTGTGGTGACCCCCAACCATAAAATTATTTTCGTTGCTACTTCGTAACTGTAATTTTGCTCCTGTTACAAAGCGTAATATAAATTTCTATGTTTTTTGATTGTCTTAGGTAACACCTGTGAAGGGGCCATTCCACTCCCAAAGGGAGTCCCAAAGGGAGGTTGAGAATCTCTGGTCTAGATACTAAGTGACAGCGTAGCCCTGGAAGGGTAGCACTGGGGGAGGACTGGTGAGATGGACGGACTCACCTTAGAGCTCATAAGCCCTAAGATGGACGGGCCAAGAGCCCCTTCCACAGATCCCTTTCTCCTTGGGGAGGGAACGTTCTCCATCCTGGGACCTTCTGGCTGGGAGTTAGCTCCTGGTGCTGAGCAGAGGCGGGGGAGTTTGAGGGCCTGGACTGTGACTTAGCAAGCAGTGGAGAGCTGGCTTCCAGGCAGACCTGGGCGAGCCACCACATGGAGCGGGTCTGTCTCTGCAGGTACGTACGTGAGCATCTTCGAGGCCCAGGGATTCATGTGGGAACTGGATCAGGTGGTGCAGGTGCCCTTGGAGGAGAAGGAAGTGGTTCTCCTTCCAGACAAGCTGTCCATCTCCTGTGCCGCCTCCGCTGGCTTCCAGCTGAGCTGCTGCTTCCCACGCACAAACTTGGCCTACACTGCTACCTGGAGTCCCGGGGAGGGCAGCGAAGGTAGGAGACGAGCAAAGATGACGTGACTGGTCTCTTCGGGCAGCAAAGGCTAGTTGGGGATGGGAGTCGGGTGTCCATGCTCAACAGTATTTTCACCCCATCAGATAGAACTTCTTCTGTCACACACTTCCACTTGCAGTAAACTCCGTGAGGTTAGTTTAACAATATCCTATTTTTAAAAAGGAGGAAACTGGGGGCTGGAGAGTTGGCTTGTTGGTTAGGAACATTTGACTGCTCTTTCAGAGGTCCTGAGTTCAATTCCCAGCACCCACATGGTGACTCACAAGCTCCTGTGATGGGATCTGATTCCTCTTCTGGTGTGCATGAAGACAGAGCACTCATGTACATAAAATACACGAATAAATAAATCTTTTAAAAAAAGGGGGTGCACCCTGTGCCCCATCCCTGCCAGGTGTAGGGGCAGGCTGGGCCCTGCATTCCTGGGGTGGGGCCTGAGGGTGAGGGGAGAAGCATAAGCCCTTTCTGTATTCTCTGCTGAGGTGCAGCGCTCATCCTGGGCCCTCCATTTTACAAGCCCCTCCCTTAGCCCTGTCTCACGCCTTGGCCTCCTGCCCCCATCGCAGCCATCAGGCAGGGACCTTCCTATACTACAGAAGGGCCAGGGATTCCTACATTTGACTCCCCTCCCCCAAGGAACTTGGCCTTGGGAGAGAGGGGAGATGTTACTTAGCTGATCCCACCCTGACCCAGAGGAAGTGTCTATTTCTTTATAAGCTTTTGTTTACACCCTGGAGTGACCCCTTCCTCCAGGGCTCTTGGGAGGGGGAACCCAGGGCCTCTGCGACCCCTCCTTCTTCCTCAAACCCCCCATTAGTATTTAACTGCCAAATGAGATTCCTGCAGGCTCCCCCTTTTCTATGGGGGGGGGTCATGGTGCTGTCCCCTCCCTTCTGCTTACATTTCCCCTCCCACACCACTGTATCGCATATTACTAGTTTCCTTTTTTTTGCAAAACAAAGTGATGGAAACTCCAAAAAAGGGGGAGCCCTGGGGCTATAGAGATGGCTTAGTATTAAAAGCACTTGCCGCTCTTCCGGAGGACCCGAGATCAGTTGGTGGCACTCATGCTGGGTGGCTCAGCACAAGTGACCCCAACTGCACCGAGTCTGAAGCCCCCTTCCGTGGGCTCTTGCATCCACACAAAGATACATATATGTGCACGTAATTCAAACTAAGGTGAATCTTTTCTTGTTGTTTGTTTAGTTTTTGTTTCTCAAGACAGGGTTTTTCTGTGTAACAGTCCTGGCTGTCCTAGAACTCGCTTTGCAGACCAGGCTGGCCTTGAACTCCCTGAGATGAGCCTACCTCTTCCTCCAAAGTGCTGGGATTAAAGGCATGTGTCACCACTGCCCAGCTAAAATGAGTCTTTTTAGCCTGAACAAATATTTTATTTATTTATTTGTTTGTTTGTTTGTTTATTTATTTATTTTTGGTTTTTCGAGACAGGGTTTCTCTGTGACTTTGGAGCCTATCCTGGAACTAGCTCTGTAGACCAGGCTGGTCTAGAATTCACAGAGATCTGCCTGCCTCTGCCTCCCGAATGCTGGATTAAAGGCGTGGGCCACCACCGCCGGCTGAACAAATATTTTAAAATCTATTGAAACTGAGTGCCAGGGCTAGAGACCCAATAGGGCTCAGAGTCAGCGAAACCCACATTCTGTCCCCAGCAGCTGGATGCTGACATACCATTCAGCTCTCCCTCACTGCTTCACCTTCAAAGACCACCCAGAAGTGACATTTTAGGACCTGCTTAGCTCTCATCTGCCTCAGCCAGGGATGATCCACTTTCCTCTTCTGTCCTCCCTCAGTGTCCTTGCAGAATATGTCGGATTCCCAGTGCCTGGTGCTGACCACTCAGCACTGCCCAGCAGCCGATACCACATACATGTGTACCCTCCACAGTCAGAACCTGGCTCCTTTCACGGCTCCTGTCTCCGTCACCATCATCCGGGGTATGTGGGCCTTGGGTCCCAGTCGACTGACCTCTAAGAGGCTTGTCCTTGGAACTCGGGGTCTCTTCTTTGTTGTTCCTCTGCCTCGGGCCACCTAGTCAGGTATCAAGGCCTGCCTAGGTTATGGTCAGAGCAAAGGCTCTGGCTATATCTTGGCTTCTGAGGCCTCACTCTTCCTTATTCAGATGGAGACACGACCTGCCCCACGGACTTCTCGGTGGTCGACTGGAATGTCACCAAGGCTGGCTTTGTGGCACAGGCTCCGTGTCCTGTGAATAAGAGGGGCATGGTAAAGAGGCTCTGTGGGTCTGATGGCATCTGGGGACCCGTCCAGAGCAGCTGCACAGAGGCAGAGATCCTAAACTTGTGTCTTAAAGCCAAGGTAAAACTGCTACCTCCATGACTCTCCCAATAAACTACACCTGCCCGCCTGCCTGCCCACCTGCCCGCTTATCCGCCTCTGTCTGCCTGCCCGCCTGCCTGCCTATCCACCGCTGCCTGCCCACCTGCCAGCCTGCCCAGCCGCCTTACTGTCTACTTGCCTGCCTGCATTCACTCTCTCCCTCAATGCCTCTCCTTCTCCTTCCTTTAGAATTCAGATTCAGGAACCTTTCCTGATGCCAGCTTACCTGTTATTAAATATCAGCCTCTCTCACCTGGACCCCTAGCTGACCAAGGGAGGAAGAGTGGGTCCTCCAGGGGTGGGAGTGGGGTGGGCTAGGTGGGTGTTTGTTTCAAACCACGGTCCCATCAAGTGGCGTCTGTCCTCTTAATATGTCCATTCCATCCATCTGTCCATGTACTCCCCTCCCCTCTCTGCTTCCTGCTCCTCCGAGGGATCTGGAGGCCCTCTCAGAGGGACGAGGGGGAAGACCTGACCCCTCCATGGTAAGGATTTCCCACTGTCTGTTCTGTCCTGTCAGCTGCTGCTGGAAGGCCAGGGAAAGCCCCAGGAAGAGATTCCATGTATCCTGAGTCAGCTGCGAGAGCAGGTGGACGTGGCCAGCACCCCCACTGACTTACAAAAATTGCTGCACACTGTAACCTTACTGGCCGATGTGGTAGCAAAGACAAGAGCAGAGCTTACAAAGAGTTCCCTGAAGGTAAGCTCCCGGAGCCACACTGGGAGCCAGCTGGGAAGGGTGGAGGGGAGGCCCTTCCATTATGGATTTCTGCCTTTCTGGCATCATGTGGGCAGCCCAACAGGGACCATGTAGAATCCAGGTGTTGGCCCCTGCTTCCTCTGTTCTTAAAGACCAGTCTCCAAAGCCATGGAGAGTAAAGAAAGCCTGGTGCTGGAAGGGGTGGGAGGCTTGACTTTCAGAGACATGTATGGGTACACAGCATGGGAACAACACATACACACACACACACACATGCATCATACAACCCAATAGCCACAGAGACACTCAGGCACTGCCAGGCAACCAGGGGGTGGTGGCGCACACCTTTAATCCCAGCACTCTGGAGGCAGAGGCAGGTGGATCTCTGAGTTTAAGGCTAGCCTGGTCTGCTGAGTGAATTTCAGAACAGCCAAGGCTACACAGAAAAAACCCTGTTTCAAAAAACAAAAACCAAGAAAAAAAGGATAACAAGAGGCAATGATACCACACAGCCTTCCGGTCAGCCATTAAACTGCAGTGACGGCCACACAGACCTCATGTGGCTCTCAACTTCAAAATGGTTGCTCCCTGCCCCTGACCGTCATTCCTAGCTTTGCAGAACTGGACCAGTTATGGAGATGATGAAGGACCGTTGTAGGACTTGGGTGGTCGGTCCCAAGGGATGCAAGTGACAGAAGAGGCATTAGGCAGAAATCTAAGTGTGATATGGAGACAGGGCTTCGTTCCTCTGATCTAGATGGTCGCTTCCACAGACCTGCCCTCCTATAACCTTTTTCTCTCTAGCCCTGAGTCTTGCCATGGAGGGAAGGGGTGGGGTCTGCAGGTCCTAGGGCCGGGGTCTGCAGGTCCTAGGGCCGGGGTCTGCAGGTCCTAGGGCCCCTGTAGACTCTGAAAATCGCATATACCTGCTATTGTTGTCACTACAGGATCTCCTGACAATCACAGACAAGATTCTAGACGTGAACATCAGCTCTCTGTGGACTCTGGCCCAGGCCCAGGCACCCTCAATGGGCTCAGATTTCCTGAAGGCTGTGGAGACCCTGGTCCACAGCTTGAGCCCACAGCAGCTTCCTTTCTCCTTCAGCTCATCCAATGTGCTACTGCAGAGCCAGCTCCTCAGACACACCTCTCCTCCTGGCTACCAAATGTCCTTCTCTACCCGGCCCCTCCTGCAGGCACAGATCCCATGGTATTCACTGGCCCCGCTGGTCCACAAGGGATCTAATGTCAGTATTACTAGCCTAGTACTGCAAAAGCTGGACCACCGTCTGCCCTCAAGCTACACACAAGGGCTGTGGAACGCTTCCTATACCACTCCTGGACTGATCCTGGTGGTCTCCATCACAGCAGATAGCCAGGCCTTCACACAGGTAGAGCTTATCATGGACTTCGAAGACAAGAATGGAGCCCTGCACTGTGTCTTCTGGGACCATAGTCTCTACCAGGGTCAGGGGGGTTGGTCAGATAAAGGGTGCCAGGTACAGGCAGCCAACACCAGCAACACCACTCAGTGTGTTTGCCAGCATCTCACCGCCTTTTCCATCCTCATGTCCCGACACACCATCCCAACAGATCCCATCCTGGACCTGCTGAGCCAGGTGGGGGTTGGGGCTTCTATCCTGGCACTGCTGGTGTGCCTGGTTATCTACAGGCTGGTGTGGGGAGCTGTTGTCAGGAACAAAATCGCCTTCTTCCGCCATGCTGCCCTGTATAACATGGTCATCTGCTTGCTGGCCGCAGACACATGTTTCCTGGGAAGTCCATTCCTTCCTTCAGGGTACCACAGCCTGTTCTGCCCGGTCACTGCTTTCCTGTGTCACTTTTTCTACCTGGCCACTTTTTTCTGGATGCTGGCCCAGGCCCTGGTGCTGGCCCACCAACTGCTGTTTGTCTTCCATCAGCTGTCCAAGTACTTGGTTCTCTCCCTGATGGTGATCCTGGGCTACCTGTGCCCACTGGGGTTTGCAGGCGTCACCCTGGGCCTCTACTTGCCTCAAAGGAAATACCTGTGGGAGGGGAAATGCTTGCTGAATGAAGATAGAACGCTGCATGCCTTCAGTGAGCCGGTGCTGGTCATCGTTGGTGTAAACGGACTGGTCCTTGTCATAGCCGTGCTGAAGCTCCTAAGGCCTTCGCTGTCGGAGGGACCCCCGGTGGAGAAGCGCCAAGCTCTGGTGGGGGTGCTTAAAGCCCTGGTTATCCTCACGCCCATCTTCGGCCTCACCTGGGTACTGGGCGTGGCTGTAGTATTTGCTCAAGACTCCATGGTCTCTAACTATATCTTCACCGTTCTCAACAGCCTCCAGGTGAGTAGCAAGTGTGAGGTGGCTAAATGGTGGTCTAAATCACTGCCAATCACCAGGCTCAAGAGTTTTGGAAGGGAGCTGGGCGGTGGTGGAACACGCATTTAATCCCAGCACTTGGGAGGCAGAGACAGGCAGATCTCTGTGAGTTTGAGACCAGCCTGGTCTACAAGAGCTAGTTCCAGGACAGGCTCCAAAACCACAGAGAAACCCAGTCTCAAAAAAG